ACTATGGCCAACATGTCGTATGAGTAATTTTCATGAAGATGTAGAAGTTGGTTTCATTTTTCTACTTGCTATTCTTATGAAAATTGCAATATTTATTTATTTCCTCCTATACTGTTTATATATTGTTTATAATATAAAAATTTAAATATTTATGTATTTTATAATCTCTAAATTTAAATATTTCTATATTTTCTAATCTCAGGTACACCCCAATTGTTATCGCAAACCTTTAAAAACCGCATCCTTTGGCTGGCTTGCAGCTTGATAATTGTTCAATATTTTGCCAACTTCCGCAGAGTTTTAATATCCGGCCAGGGCCAGCTGAACTCAACTGAACTGTGGCTGGAATTGAAGGCAACGACCATTGTCATTCCAATGGGGCAATGTCAGAGACGTAGGCTGAAAATGCCAGAACAGCCACTATATATGTATGTATATGCCTTCATATACGCCTATGAGAATCAACAAATCCGGGGATAAAAAAAATACTCCGCCGGAGGGGCCTAGGCAGGGACAACAGCTACAAAAAACCGCAGAAAAAGAATAAAACTCCGCCGTAAACAGTGGCCAGGTGATGAGTGCGAGCAGGCAAACAGCAAATAACAAAAAGCACACGGCAAAACACTCCAGCCAGCAGAAGGATCAGCAGGAGATGGAACAGGAACAGGAGCAGGAGCAGGAGGAGCAGCATTGGCAGTGGAAACCGGCATCATCAGCCAGCAGGCAGCGGGCAAAGTAATTTTAATTAAAACTTATGGCAACGTCTGCGAGTGAGTAAAACACGGCGAAACGAGTTGATAAAAGCGCACAGAAATGCACACACACACACACACACAGCAGCTACACCCATACACGTGCAAATGGGTTGTGCCTTAAACGAGGTAATTAAAAAACGTAAGCACCTTTATAGCAAAGCCAACTCCCATCTCACTCCGTGTAATTTCCATTTTATTTTATGCCAGCGCGAGTTTTTTGTATTTGCTGCACTCGTTCCTTTTTTCTGTATTTACCTTTGTTGTTTTGTTATTTTGTTTTGTTTGGTTTTGTTTCAGTCAGCTTTGTTTTTCTTCTCTCTTTCTTTTTGTGTTATTTTTTGTTGCCTTTAAGCCGTCGCCGTAATCTGATATTACGTATACGACGTGTGCGCCAGATATTTAATAGAAATTCAACGTTTTTAAGCCTTTCCACCAATAAAACGGGGAAAAATTTATTTTCGTCCACCCTTATTTTCTTTGTTTTTTTTTAGTTTTAGCGGATAGTTAAACTGTCAGCTGAGGTAATGCAGGGCAGTCGCGGAATTTACTGCTGCATCTGGTCCTATTTATTCAGCTTTATTCGACTAGCCAGAATCCATAAAGCAGCTTACGGCAGTCGTAAAAAATATCTATATATATATATATATATATATCCTGTCGGACGTGGAGAATTTGGCCAGGGCAAATATTAAGTTTTTGATTTAGAACCCATCAGAGTTGACTTATACGATAAGATTATCGGAGTCCAAAGTAAATGAATGCCAACGTCGGAGCCGTAAAACCTGTCTAAAATAAAAAGGATAAAATATATTCTAGTGGAAGTAATAAAAAGGAGTGCCTGCTTTTTTTAAAGAAACAATCAGCTGCCAGTCAAATGCATCCATCAATTACATACTCGTATCAATGCACAATGGCCTTTCACCGCCTCCCAGAGCCTGTGTATATACTTAAAAGTTTAGCCAGGCATTATACTAATTCCCGTATAGTTGGCAGGTCCTTTCTGCGGCCTGTCCATGGTCATGTCAAGCCTGGCACACCTCAGGTTCAGCGTCAGCCTCAGCCTTTTGCCTTTTGCATTTGCCTTTTTGCACTCGGCCTATTTAGCTCCGTCTTTGGGCCTTTGTTTATGTGCGTTTTCTGCACATAATATACCGGCTCTGACTCTGGGTTCTGGCTCCCTGTACTTGCCGTTAAGCAGCCGGCACTTGGAACTCCACCCGATCCAGTTTCTGTGCCCATTCCCATTCCCATTCCCAGTGCAACTTGCTGTAAAATGAAGCCAAAAGCTGTTCAAGCCGGATGCTTGATTAACCATTCATTGCAGTTTTGTAGTGGCTCAATGGGAGAGATGCACAGAGAGAAATGTATTGGTTAAGAACTCTTAAGTTTGTCTAAATTTAAACTTTCCTAACAGTAAAGAAAGTAGAGGGAGAAAGTGCTTAATTTATTAAATTCGAACCATTCTTTTTTCAATTTCTAGCTTACTTTAAGGTCACTGTTTAGAAGATTCTATCAATATTTCTGAACTATTTTCTTGCTGTATATTCTGCACTGAGAAATGGAAACTGGAACTCGGCTCGCTGCCTTACTCTACGTCTCACGTTTATTTCATTTGCTGCCCTTTTTGGACCCAACCCTCGGGCTTTACTCGCCTGGCTGCCTGGCTTTGTGTGTGTGAGTTTGACTGGTGGAGGGATGTGGCTGGGTGGGTGTGGATGTGGATGTGGGTCTGAGGGTGTGCGGTTGTGGCTCTGAAACTGACTCCGACTTCGAGTCAGTTGTCCGGAGAGCTGTGCAATTTACGCTCAAGTAGCAAGCAGCGAACAGTAAGCAGCGGCGAAGACTTGCCAAGTGGCAATTCGTGCAGAAATTATGTTTAACTTTAGTTTCAAAGCCCCAGCAATGCAAGTAATGCCCAACAACTGTTCAGACCAGGCTTTCTTTTTTGTGTGATTTTTTTTTTTTTTTTTTTTTTTTGCATAGCAAACACAGTGGAAAATACCCCCGAAGCTGATAACGTTTTAATTAACATTTAATTTGGCCTAAAAGTTGTGCCTAGGCAAATCTCTCTCAATGCCTGCTCCCAAATTAAGTTTTTCTCTTCCACAGGCACTGACACAATCGCAACACCAGGATGCCGACGTAAGGACTTCTCCTCCTCCATATGCATAATAACATTACAGCTCCCAGGGGGGGCAGTAAATCCTTTCCAGCTGCATCCTAGAATCCCTAGCATCCTAGCATCCCAGAAGCATCCTAGAATCCCTGCACGTAGCGGAAGCAATGATCTGGCAAATTTTAGTTCTACTTGTAGTAGCTGCAAAAAGTTTCACCGCTCCTCTCCCATCCTCTCCTCTCCTTAAACTAAATAGTGTTAGTTGATGAGCACTGGGATGGCGGGGGCATCTCCCCTCACGTGTTGTTGACGTGCTTAGGTGTTGGCTTATGATTGCGACGGCAGATGCTGCTGGGATGCTGCAGGCGGCAGGATGCAGCGGAAGAAACTGCAAGTAAGTTTCTCAAATTGCAGCGATTCGGAGGGTGTTACACTGAGCACTTTGAGAGCCCGGAGGCCAGCACTCAGAGTGCGACCTTTTAGCCAAAAATGCCAGCTGTTGCATCCAGTTGGGGGTCTCTGCCGTTGGGGCAGGAACTTGTTAGCGAGCGTCAACTCGCCGATCGGATAACAAGTTTCCACTTACATTGGGTGCAGATTGGAGCTCTATTTTATGCCTGAGGAGAGAATAATTTTAAAGGTTTTCAGCTGTAATTTTCTATGGTTAAAGCAATTAAATATTGAGTGACAAGAGGGTAAGTTCTATGTGAATTTTGCTTAGTTTTCGCAGAATCAGAAACTAAAATATCAGCATCTACATATTTAAAAGGAAACTATACATAATCCCCTCATTATTATTTGCAGTGCAGACCTCTAACTAAGTCACACAATCTGAAATCACATTCGCACAGTCATAACCTTTTGGCCCCGCCCCCCCATTGCAACGTCACGACCGCAACTTTCAGTTACTTTCTACGTGTACATGTAGGCACGTGTGCCACTGTGTTGGTGTAATTTCGCAAGATTTTATATTCATAGCATAATCCTTGGGTATAAAATAGAAAAGTTTTCGTGTATCCAACTCGAACGGGCGCCATGGGATGCCACCGTAAAGAAGGAAGGATGGAAGGATGATGAGGGGGCACTGCTGCACGCAGGATGCAATTTTCAATTTGTTGGTAATTTTATTTTATATTCCGAAATCCAAAGTCAAGACGAGTTTACCGAAAAACGTTTTACCGTGCAAATGATTTTCACTTTGGCCCCGTGATAGCCAAGGAGTTCAGGCGCATCTTGGCCTGGTCAACACAGAGAAGAAATTGGTACTATTTTATGAACAGAAAATATCTACAATTCCCTTTTTAATTATATATTATTTGAAAGGAAATTCTTGTAATTGATAGATTTTACTGTGAATTATCAATATTTCCCTTTAATGAAATATAGATATATACAACAAAGTTGATCTACAAAATCACTGAAATTTAAATGAAAATATGACATCCAGCAACTGGCAATATTTTTCCCTGTGAAAGCCAATGGCAAGTTGTCTGAGAAAGTTGTAACTGTAAGCAATGAGTGACAGTGCAAGGACGCAAGTTGGCCAAAAGCTAAGGGCAAAGTTTCCTCCAACCACCGCCCTCATTGTCATCTTGCTCTATCTTCCTTTTCTGCAATCAGCAAGGTGTCCTGGCAGGATCCAAGGGAAAGCGACTAAATTCATTCATAAAACGCACAATCAGACACACATCGCAGACCCAGAAGCCAAAGTCTCTCGTCTCTCTGTTGGCCGGGCCAAATGAGTTTTCTCGCAGACGGCAGCCAGCGCATTTTGGGCGATGGCAAATAACAACACAATTACCCCAGGACAATGACGCCCGAGCTGAGTTTTGTTAAATGCTAAAAATTCAGAACACATAAGAGTGGCAGAAAGAGAAGTTTGGCTAAAAAGAGGGATAAAGAGAGAAGAGGGATATGGTAACATCCTGCAAACGTATGTCTGTTGGCTTTCCAATTATACATACACATTTAACACTCTGACACTGAAAGGAAAACCTTTATTTAAAATTAATTTAATATTGAACTCAATGAGCAAACAAATTACACATTGCATTTATGCAAAGCTTTAAATTTAAATTAACACATTATTAAGAGATAATATAATCAACAAATAATTAATAGAAAACCACCTACGACTCTCCTATAACCCACATGATGTTGATACCACTCTTGGCCATACTGATCCCCTCCAGAGTCGAATCCTGGTGCTGACGCATGTGCATAAGGAACTCAATGATCACCTGAAAGGGACTGCTTCTCTGGTCAAAGCACCGATGCAGTTCACCACCGCAGATATAATCAAAACGTGGCCTTCTATGATCTTCATCATTGGTTACCAAAAAGGCAAAGTTTGCATCGTTTTTCACAGTTCTGATGATGTTCTTTATGGATTCTTTTTTGTTATCCTGGACCACATAGCGGGAGGAGAATTCCGATCCGTATCCTAGAGATGGCATCAACTGGGCGTCCAGATAAACACAAAATAAGTGGAATATAATCGCTGCATCGGTGGGCACACGTAAGCCTGTGTTCCATGAATCAGGTACGTATTTCTCCAGCTCCCGGATGCGACGTACCAGATGCAGCTGGTCCCCGGGAAGGTTGAGGAATGCCAGCACCGTGGGCAACGCAGGCAGCATAATCCTCTGACCCTCCACAGTCCGGCGTAGGGTATCATAACTCACAGTACCAATCTCGAAGCCAACGAATCCCCGTTGCTGGAACACACTGTTCACAAAGTCAATCTCCCTAACCAGACGCCCCACTATGGTGTTTCGTATCCATGATCTCAAGTTGACCACATATTGCACCATTTGTGGTGAGGAGAATCGAGCTGGATCGAAGTTCACTTTTTGAGTATGTGCGGTGCCAAACTCTTCATAAGTTATGGATCTGTTGCTTACTGGCGGCGGCGACAACTCGTATACAGTGTTCCTTAGCTGATGTTTAGGGTCCCAATTCAGTATCTGGGATGCCTTTAGGTTCTCTTCTTCCAACAGTCTGCGTTCCCACTTCGCTCGTTTGATGAGAGCTGGAAGCTGACAAGGATCGGTGAGGTAGTCTTCGGGACAAGCAATTCGATTTACTACGGGCTTTGGAATCTCTGAGGTTTTCTGCCTTAAAACGAAATCTCTTAAGTCATAAGATGGCATGGGATACGTGGTACTTTTGATAATAAGTGTGTCGATTGTCTTGCAGCTGGGTGGCTTTATATTTGGTAGATCCAAAATCGTATCAATTCCGCTGCTATCCAAGCCATCCAATAGACGCTTCTGGTCTTTAGTACCCACCCCAGGCTTGCTCTTGAAAACCAGATGCAAATACTTTATAAAAAAGAGTAGGAAACTGAAGGCTAGGAACATAGATCCCACGTTTACCAGCTTGTACCGGGACTGGGGGCAGCAGGATCGGTCCATCACCATTATGTCGATTCTGAAAACTATCAGCAGCAACAGGATAATGCAGCTCCATTTGAAATAATAAGCCGCCTCGACGCTCTGGCGGCGCAACTCGAGACTGCGATCCACCAAGGATCTCTTTTCCAGAGACCGAATATAGTTTGAAGTTTGATATTGATTCATTATTTTTAGAGAATGTATATATATATCAAAATATGTGAAGGTCCAGCTCCGGAAATGGCAATACTAACACAAACTTTTTTCTCATTGACTACTATCATTTATTTTTTAAGTAGAAAGTCTCAAATATTCTGAATATTCAAATTATTTATCTCAGTGCTCAGCATACTCGCATATTTGTCGCAATTTAAGTCCTTGCTGCCTTCGCTGCCTTTTTGACTTGCCCCGCAGCATTTCAGCACCAAGAATGCCTGGGTCCTGCGCCAGGATACCTCTGCCATCTCGCTCTCCTCTCTCTCTCTCTCTTCCGGTCCTGGGTTATTTAATCAGTTGTAAGATTTGAGTTTCATGCGGAAATATTTAATTTGGATTTTAAATGCGTGCCGTGGTGTAATGTGAGACCAGAAGCAGTAGCAGGACCCGGACCAGGACGAGGACAAGCACCGGAGACACTTGACAACGACAGGGGAAAATGAGACAAATGTTGCAGCCCACACACACACTGCCAGTGCGCCACGGAAAACGTTAAACGAAACTTTTTTATGGCTGTTGGATGGAGTTGAAATGTCCTTGCCATCGCAGGTGCAGGACTGGATAAACTTTGAGTGTCGGATCTGTAATTACTCAGATTTCTTTGGGTACTGTGTGTGTGTGGGAGTGGGGCGAAAGATTTGTGGCCCAGCCGGTTGTTTATCTTTGTTTGGCTCTAAACACAAATCAAATTTTGTTTTTGTGAGTTTAAATCTGGGAGACACGAGTTTCCTCTAAGTTGATTTTTAAGATTTCTTTATCAAATAAGTTATGTAAAATAAAATGTACAGACTTAAAACTTGGTATACCACAACTTCCCTTCATTAAAGATAACAGCTTTTTGTAAGACAACTTAATGCAAGTCACTTAATTAATTAGATACCATCCAATTAAATCTAAACATTTGAAAGACATGTTTATCCATCATATTCATTTTGTTTTAGCTTGCTTGTGTCAGCCTCTTATCCTGATTTTCAAGTATTCTATTCATTGCTCGGTTTCAAAAACTTGTTTTTCGCTTTGTACCTGAGGATGAACTCCAGGATGCGGACCAAGTAAACACGAAGCACTCTCTTTGCAAGCGGCAATCCTTTGAGGATGTGTGTCAGGAGATGCGTTCCACTATATACATATATAAAACATGCTCGGGCACAAGTTAACCCACTTAGTGCCATCGACATGCAAGCAAACGGTTTAAGTAGCTACCAGCTACCAGTTACCCATCTTCCCGTTCCCATGGCGCTTGTACATGCATTTAATTTGTTACATAATTACGTAATTAATAAAACACAGGACCCGGAGAAACGCACACAAGACCACGAACGGGATATATGTACATATATAAGGGCGTGTCCAGGCTCATAGGGCGGGCGGTGTAACTTAAATAAACACTCGTGCATGGTGGCAATGTCGGTGGCGTATGCGCAATATTGACATCGAGGAAAGATTTACGGAACCAAAGCTGAACTTTGACACACACGCACACAGGAACAAGGGTAATGGCAAACAACATGAGCAGGATGAGCAAGAACTAGCAAATGCTTTCGGGCAATGCTTATATTTGATTACAATGTCATTGAGTAATTAATGTGTCCTTGTCAATAAAAATGCCAACAGACATACGCAATGCTGCCTGTCAATCCAACAAGGATAACAGCAATAACAACAACATCACCACCAATGAAGTTAGTCCATCTATACGTGTGTGTGTATGTATGTGTGTCAGGAGTATCTGCATGAAACTAAAATCCTTTTGTTTGCCTTGCTTAATTAATCTCATCAGTCAGCATCGAAGGCAGAGCTTTCGCATCATTTGTCCTTCGGGCGGATGTAACTGAGACGCAGTCCGAGACCAAAAGCCAAGATCCTGTTGTTGTTATTCAGGTGTCAAGAAAAGCCCTGGGGCATCCTGCATCCGGTCCTACTCGTCCCCCTTTGGCAACACACACACACATATAAACACACCGTACCCGGGGGAAATTGTATTTCTAATTAATGGCCATAAAAAGCCATATTGCGCATACGACGTAAAAGTTTTCAACAGAAACGGCATTAACATGGCACTCAAATAAAAACAACAACAATCTCCCGGGTCTGCGCTGGCCAGTTGAATGCAATCAAAATAATTGCCGGAGCTGCCAAAAAAGCCATTCGGATATAATTAACAGAACGTGGCCCGCAGCCAAAGCAATTACAAATCCAAACAGCACTCGGTGATGGTCTATCTCGATTATAGTTTCGCCGACAGGATATTAGCTGAAAGTCAAGGCGAAATTGGCTTTTTGTCGAAAATAAAATGACACAAAATTAAGGAGAGTTTGAAGTTGGCTCTGATAAAGTTAGAAATAAAATTAAGTGTTTTTACATAACTTGAACTTAAAATCTTTATGCTTTAATGTAATTGCATTCTTTTGCAAGAACATGCTCTAATTTGTTTCATTGACAAACGCCCTGACCCGATGAAGGGAAAAACACATATAGATAATTCAAGAAATTTGCATAATTTGTGCAAGTACTGAACAAGTTCAGTTGGATTTTGTAAAGTTATGCGGCTTTTAGGTCCCTTTTGCCCATTGAACAAGTCCGCCTTTTGTCCTGTTTGTTACAACTTGTTGCATTGGGAACTTTCCACAGAGCTGCAGTCAGCTGAAAGTATTTTAAATAAATTAAACGGAGAACTAAAACCCGGGGCCAGAGTCCTTCAGTGACAACCGCAAAGCGAAATGCTGTGGCTGAAAAGTTATGTCATGGCCCAGAGCGAAGGGACGCAGGGAGCAGGACACTCGGATCGCTGGGAGGGGAGGGGGGTTGTGCATCTAATAAATGCCAAAACCTACTCTACTGCCCATCCTTTACCGCCTTTTGTCCGATGTCCTTCGTCCTGCATCCCTGGCAATTGCTTAAGAAACTTTCCAGTCGAGGCAGAGGCGAGTTGAGTGAAGCAGAGTCGCTTTGCCTTTGGCTAAGCGAACGTAAAAACTTTTGCAGCATTGTAAACAATTCCCAATACACAATTCAATGCGCTTCAACACGCTCTAATGTATGCTACAAAAACCCCGGAGAAAGTTCCACAAAACAAGAGCAGATAGAGGACGGATAGAACTGGCGAAATATGGAAAAGTTTTGCTGCTTATGATTGTTTTACTTCTACCCAGCTTTATATATTTTTTTCTCTCTCTTATTATTTGGTGTGCTTTTTTTTGTGAACAGCCTTGAGAGTTGGTCGTGGAGCTTATGTTATGGGTAATCCCGCCGGGTTTCCACATGATACCGACTCCCAAATGCCGGGTGTTCATCTCCTTCTTGGTGCTGTTTGCACTGCTTCCTTCGTCCTACGCCGAATCCCAATTTGCCTTCGGCATTATTGTTTGCGAAATATATCAGAAAGTTTTTCCATTCACTCATCCTTATAGCCCGCATTTCTCGTACCCTCTGTCAACATCTTTTATGTGCATTTGGGATTGGTCATCATCATTGTGGCCTGATTATTATAATATGCTTATTGAATTGACCCGAGTTCGCTGACCCCTGAAATGCGGGCGTGCAAATCGAGAATGTTACCTAAACAAAGTTTGGTTTTCCATAACAACAAATAATATATATAATATACATACAAATATATAAAAACGAAATCAATTTCCGTTCTCCGTTTAGGTACAAACAGAAAATCCGGCAAATACCAACGAACAGACGGTCTCCGTTTTTAGATCGTTCGATTTTGTTTGTGGATTTGCGGCTGACGTTTAATATCGGAGCACGCAACGGAAATGGAAATCCAAATACATAGAAATCCGGCTTAATTGTGTGTAATTGACAGTCGCTTTTGCATTCGCCGTTGAGGCATCAGAATTGAAATCAAAACGAACAAACCACAAAGCGGATGTTATTAGTTTTTTGCTTGGAATGGGCTCGAAATGATAACACAATCTCGGGGTTTCGTTGGATAAAATAAATTGACTCGCACATAATATTCATGAAATGCTGATGAAAGCAAGAAAACGAATGGAATTGATAACTTAAGAGTCTTCGGAATTAAATACGAATATATATTGAAAAAAATATATTTATTTAAAAATTTAATTACTTTGATTGGATCTTAATCACTTAGGTAATTTTAGATGAAGGTAAATCAGGGGTAAGAAAGATTTCAAGATACATACGTAAATTTAATGAATTCTTCTTATAAATCTAAAAACTTTAATGCTTTTCTGCCATATTTAGTTCATTAGTTTTTTTGTGGTAAAAATTCTAATTAATTTTGCAGTTCCTTTGCAACTTATTTTAATATTCATTTAATTATTTATTTTATTTATAGTTACCCAACTCAATACCGAATCTTCTATGTCATTCAATTAAAATAAAACAAAACAAGCACTGAACCAACCTTAAAAAATAAACATTTCAAAATGTAGTTAAAAAAGAGAATGAAATCTAGCTTCCATAAGCCGAATTTCTTATGTCCTTGCAGTTTGCAATTGAATTATAGAATCATAGAAAAAATCCATCATAACTAAGCTTAAAATATTTGCATTCCATACTTCGATATTTTTGTCCAAAATTCAAAGTTTAAAAAACTCATAACTTAGCCAAAAATGCAATTATTTCACTTTGAAAAGCTGTTATGTGCTAGTTTTTATTATATTATTTAATCTGTATACTTAATTTAACATTTTAAAAAAATTAAATTTTTTACAATTTTTTTCATAATTTTCATGATAAAAACACCTACAAATTTTTGAAAAAATTTTAAAAATTTATTTTTCAATCAAAAATTGCTAAATCGTTTAAGATTTTCATGCTGATCAAGAATATATATGATTTATAAGGTCGGAAATGACTCCTTCATGTTTTTATAAGCTCTTTACTAAAATTGGAATACCCTGGAAGGGTATAAAAATATAGAGTAAAAAATTGTCCACAAATAAACCACGAGCTGGAAAAAAATACACCAAAAAGCCTGTAAAAAGTTGGCT